ATATATATATATATATGTATATATATATATGTGTGTATATATATACACGTATATATAAAAACATAATGCAATAAATCAAAGATTAGACAAACAAAGCATCAGGGATTCATTTTTTGTTTGTTTTTTTCTCTTTCATGTATTTATTCCAGCCTATATTGCTCTCAGGGATCATGTTTGTGGTTAAATGTATCTCTGTCACATCTCCCATCCCCTCCCTTCCCCCTCCCCAGTACGTTCCTGAGGATGCCCTCGTGCACGCTCACGGGCCCGTGCACCCTCACGACCCAGCCAGGACGTTGCTTACGCAGCCCAAAGAATGGGTGTGTATTTAAAGGTGTCTGAGGCAGGTGGCAGGTAAGGATTGGCTGAGGGCTTCAGTTAGGGAGTGGTGGGAGTTTGTTTTTTCTTAGACGTGAAGTTTTAGAAACTCAGTCATCAGCGGGGGTTACAGGGTTCAACATGGCAGTGGTGTGTTCTGTTTTACTGACTTCATGCAGAAGCAAACAGAAGATACAGTATTTGTTTAGGCTGTGAGTGGTTGGAGGACCCGCTTGAGTTTTTCTTAATTATAGGTTTTTTTTTTGTTCTGAATCACTGTTGATACACTACAAAATAATCCAGAATAACAACAAACCGTGTCATCATTCATTGTTTCTTTTCCTTTCTTTTCACTGTCTTTTCAACAACAACTTCCATCCTCCCTCCAGCCGCCGTCAGAATAAGACAGAAACAGAAATATCCCTTTTGATAATAGTTAACAAACTTGATTGGGGGTATTTTTTTTACTCATATACTCATATAGTGAGTTTTGGAAGATAATCAAGAGAACCAACTAACTGTTGACTGAACCGCACCTACTACAATCAGAACTGCACTCATAACAAATCAGGAATATGAAGCTCTGCCTCATCCTCACACAACAGAAACAAAAGCAGAAAATTTCTGCATACATTTTTTGAAGGGTGCCAAAGCAATGGGACACAAAGTGTAAATTAAATGTTAAAAACTGTCACTAACACATTTTAATTTTTTAGCTCACTTTCAGAGTGCAAAATC